CCCCAAAACCCCAAAACCCCAAAACCCCAAAACCCCGTATTTAGACCTCTATATAAAAATAAAGAGTAGTAATTTCTTATTATGAGTCTTATGGATCTAACTGAGAATATTAGAAAATTTGCCTGCCTCCTTGCAGAACTTAACAAGGAGGGGCTAGACACTAAACTGATCGAACTTGGACAGGGCCTCATTCCCAAATTGGGCGATGATGAGATTCTCTCACTGGAGGATGACTTATTAAAGGTTAAAACTTTATTCAAAAATTACCAGGAAGAGAACCCTGCATGCCATAAAGAGCATCAAATTCAGCTAAAAGAAAAGCCTGTAGTCAAAGCTTATGTGGATGGATGCTATGACTTGATTCATGCTGGTCATTACAATGCCTTCAGACAATCTAGGAAGCTTGCAGACGTTCTAGTTTGCGGAGTAAATTCAGACTTGGAAGTATCCAGCGTCAAAGGACCAACAGTGTTTAACAACGAGGAGAGGTGTGCGATCGTAGGCGCCTGCAAATGGGTCGATGAAGTTGCCCCTGATACAGAGTACACACCAACTGTTGAAACACTCAACAGATACAATTGTGATTTTTATGTTCATGGTGATGACGTTGCTCTAAATTCAGATGGAATTGACAGTAGTCATGAGTTAAAAGCCGTAGGACGTTTCAAGATGTTTAAGAGAACCAGAGGGGTATCTACCACAGATATTGCATCTAAGTTGCTAACTATTGATGCAAAGATGCGTGACAGAAAAGAATTGGAAATAGTGGAAGAGGAAAAGACCAATTTGGAGCCAATCAACTTTTGTAACCAACCAAATTTACCCTCTGTATTGGGGTCTTTTAATGCTAATCCAAACTTTTTGGCATCAGCAAAGCGTATTGCAAATTTTGCTAGCGTAAAAGAGCCCCTTGAGTCTGACAAGATCGTCTATGTTGACGGGAGCTGGGACATTTGCCATCCCGGACATATTGAACTTCTTATTAAGGCTAAAGAACTTGGTGACTATCTGATTGTCGGAATCCATGAGGATCAATGTGTCAACCAATATTTGGGTAACTCTTATCCTTTAAATACTCTTCATGAAAGAGTTTTGAATATTCTTGCTTGAAGATACGTCGATGACGTTATTATTGGCGCTCCTTTCAAGATTACCGAAAGGTTATTAAGAGATCTTAATGTATCAGTAGTGGTGAAGAGCCTCGATTTTATTCAAGGAGGGATGCTAAGCTGAGCATTGGATTTAAAGCCATACGAAGTTCCCTACACCAAGGACATCATCTCAGAAGTTGAGATAGAGTCAACTCTAACTCTCCAAGAAATTGCCAGAAGAGTCGGATCAAATAGAGAGGCAATTGCTCAAAAGGTGCTAAAATCGGCAGTCAAACAAGAAGCTTTTGAGGAAAATGCAAAGTATATCTCTGAAATTAGATAATTCATAATAGGCTTAGGACCAATATTTAAATATTCCCACCCTTCATGGGGTTTTGGGGTTTTGGGGTTTTGGGGTTTTGGGGTTTTGGGGTTTTGGGGTTTTGGGGTTTTGGGG